GTAGAAAGAGCTAAAACAATTGCTTTTCAAATATTGAATATGTAAACTGTCATCATTAACAACTTTTAAGAAACCTAAGGAGGTACCCTGCAAAAGGTAAACAAAAATTTTCTGATTCTTCTTTGATTTTACGGACTATTCTGAATGTTTAAACTTACTTCCCAAGTTTATAGATAACTTGTGATACCCATCATATGGGTAGCACTGATTATATTTGAGAAAGCTAAGATGACATTTTACATAAAGAAGGGAAGATTGATTGACAGGTTTCTATTTTTTTAACATTTTATTTATTATTTTTATGTGTATGAGCGTACTGCCTGCATGTGTGTAAGTGCACCCATGTCATGCAATGCCGCGGAGGTCAGAAGAGGGCTTCAGACTCCCCTGGAACTGGAGTTAAGGACGGTTCATAGCTGCCATGTGGGTGCTGGAAATTGAACCCGGGTCTTCTGCAAGAGCAGTCAGTGCTCTCCACAAGAGAAGTGGGTCATATCAACTAGAGTCACTGCAGAAACATTTCCTATTTGAAATACCTATTAAATGGGTCAGGATGACTAAGAAGAGGGATGAAGAAATTCCTCAACAGAAGATCACTCCCAAAGAGGTGCTCAGCAGACAAAATATTACAATGTAAAAAGCTAAAACAGAAACAGGGGGAAACTGCTATTTGTCAAGGCCTTCCATGTTTTCCTTTCCTGCTCCTATTCTCCTACTTTTTAAGAAAAGTGGGGTATTACTGGCCCAGTAAGACACTTTTGTTTCGCTTATGTTTGGTAACTCTAATTTGAGTCCTGGTAGTGCTGTTGGGAAACTCAGCCCAGCCCCAAGGATTACCAAGTGTTATATGATGAACGAAACATCTCTCAACCCTTGACAAATAATAACCCTAGGGGTGCCAAATGTTCTTGTGGCTAGAATATAATATAGTCTGGTTTGAGATGCTAGTGGCTATGAGGAAGAGGAACAACTCCAAAAAACTGAACAATGAACAGGTGTTAAGTGGGTCTAGAAATGTACTACTCTGCTCCATACAAAGGACATTTACTATTTATTATGACAGTTAATAAAATAACTGAGTGCTTTCAGTATGCTTAGAATGCATATATATTCTGGTTAGTTAACAAAACTCTCAAATTTGAGACATGCTATTCTAATACACAATTCACTGAATTATCGTTATCTATGATTAGCTATCTAAACAATTAAATCAGTGGTTATCTACATTTGATTTATGATGTCCATGAGCTCACATCAATGAAGGGCAGCAGTTGTGTTTAGAGTACATGATCATACCACTCATCCCCTTAGCCAAAGTAATTACTACCAATGTCGTTATTACACTTATGGTTACATCTGTCTCATCTCACTAAAATAATGATTTGTGCAACATTGCTCAGATACTTCCCACAGTTTCTGGCATATATTACATACTTAATAAAGTATCTGATGAACAAATTAATAGAACTATTAGATATGTGAGGGTACTTATAAACGGGCAAGAAATTTATGACTAGAATAACCTGGCTTGAAAAGATATCCTAGATGAATCAGATTCCACATCTAGTGATTTTGAACATTTAAAAAAAAAAAAAAAGAAGAAGGACATGGGCAACAGACCAAATTCCATAAGGGCAGCATGGAAAATTTGATAGAAAAGCATTTGTAATAAGGCTATGGGAAACATAAGGCCATGGCAACAGTTTAAAATAATTATTTTTTCCAAAAAACTGAATTTTCTTTTTGGCTAAAAAAAAAGAAAAAGGAAAAAATATAAAGCTAAAAAGATCTGCTAATCTAGGTTCAGTCATAGATACAGTCTCAAAAAAATAAGACTGAGAGGGACTGAGACAGATACCCAATGCCGATACTGTCCTCTGTATACAAATGATCAAGTGTATCCCTATGACCATGTGCACACATGTAAACACCACATGAACAGATAAAAGTAATCAAGGCCTAAGCAAATGGAGGGAGACAATATGCAATGAACTGGAAGATTCAATGTAGTAAAAACAGCAACTTGTCCCAAGTGAAATAGTGATTCAATGAAATACTAACATCTCAGTAGGAGTCAGTCTGAGTGCTTGCCTACAATGTGCAAGGCTCTGGTTCTATCACCAGCACCACAAAATAGATTGTTAATTAAAATAGAATTAGGAATTCTGTAGAAAATTTTTAACACTTATATGGAACTTCAAAAAAAGCTTAGTCAAAAAGATTTTTAAAACAAAGTCAGAAGACTACCTAACTACAAGACTTACTATAAAGATGCTACAATCAAGACAATGCGGTACTGACGGGCAGATACTTATTCATATATATATATATATATATATATATATGATTGGAGGGCAGGGCCTGTGGCAGAGAGGGTCCTATCTATTCACCTCTCAGCGGTGACCCCATTTGGTGCTCACACTGACCTAGGAAGCTTCTGGCAGCAACCTTCTGCACAGGTCCCACATTCATTGCCTCTTGATCATCAACCCCACAAAGTGGAGGGTTATGTTTCTGTTTGGTTTCTTCTGTTTTGAGACAAAATCTTACTATGTAGCCCTGGCTGGCCTGGAACTTACTATATAGACCATATTGGCCTTGAACTCACAGAGATCCTCCTGCCTCTGCCTCTTGAGTGCTGGGATTAAAGGTATGGGCCATTTAGCCCAGCATTTTTAATCGCCAACTAGAAGCAACCTAGAATCATCTGTTAACAAAGCTTCCATGAGTATGTCTGTTGGGGATTGTCCTTAAGTGATGTGAGAAGACAGACCCTAATTGTAAACGGTACCTTAATGGTAGCAGCCCAGATAACAGGACTTGGGAGGAATTATTTTTGCTTTTTCTCTCTCTTTTCTTAAAGATTTATTTTGATTTTGTGTGTGTCTGTGTGTCTGAATATATGTATGCCATGTACATGTGAATATCCATGAAAGCCAGAAGAGGTTATCAGATCTCCTGGCACTGGACTTGAAGGCAGCTAGCTGTGAGTCACCTAATGCAGGTGCTAGGAACCAAACTTGGGTCCTCCCCAAAAGCAGTGAACAATCTCACCAATTCCAAGGCTTTTTCTTTTACTCAAATGGCCTTTACTCTGGCTGATGAATTCATCACCCTATTGCTGCCACTGTTGATTCCTTCTCTGATATCAGACCTAGGTTCTTTGGGCTTCCAATGTGAACTGAAGACCAGCTGCCCTCCACAAATCCTCCACAACTTCCTCACCAGATTGGGACAGATGAAGCACCCAGCCTCTTGGATTGAGTAACTACAAGGTTCTCAGCTCTGTTGGTTTGAGACAGTCATTGTTGGACTATTCTGACCACATAAGCCAATCTAATAAACCTTTTTAATACATATTCATTCTATCAGTTCTGTTCCTTTAGAGAACCCTAATAAATAGACTTCATATACATGTCTTTTGTGTATGTCTTATACACAAAAGATGCATTTCCTGAAGGAATGGGTGCAGAGTATGGATGGTAAAGTACTATCTGGTTCCTCATAAAGCTAAATAAGACAATATCAAGAAGGAAAAAGTATGTATTAAAAGGAAAACAGCCTGGCATGGTGGCACATGCCTTTAATCCCAGCACTTGGGAGGCAGAGGCAGGTGGATCTCTGTGAGTTCAAGGCCAGCCTGGTCTACATAGTGAGTCGCAGGCCAGCTGGGGCTACAGGGAGACCCTGTCTCAAAAAGAGGGAAAAAAAAAAAAAAAGGA